TTAGTTAGTTAGTAGTTAGTTAGTTAGTTAGTTAGTTAGTTAGTTAGTTAGTTAGTTAGTTAGTAGTTAGTTAGTTAGTAGTTAGTTAGTTAGTTAGTTAGTTAGTTAGTAGTTAGTAGTAGTTAGTAGTTAGTTAGTTAGTTAGTTAGTTAGTTAGTTAGTTAGTTAGTTAGTTAGTTAGTTAGTTAGTTAGTTAGTTAGTTAGTTAGTTAGTTAGTTAGTTAGTTAGTTAGTTAGTTAGTTAGTTAGTTAGTTAGTTAGTTAGTTAGTTACATAGCGCTCAAATGTTGACGTCAAGTGATTGCTAGGACAACTTTCATCCATCTCAATTCTGCCTCATGCTTTCAGTCTGTTTATTGTTCCAATTTAATTTCTACAATTAAATCCAATACAATATGTACAAAGATTTGCGAGACTACAATATCCTTTACACTTTTGATTCTAGTTATCCTGCGGTGATTTTCTTTTGACGAATTACAAATATCACTATGATGACTTCCAATTAGTTGTCCGTTAACCCAAATTTCATATTTCTAGATATGCACATTTCCTATTATGTTGACAAGTTAATTAGGTACACATACTACATACAACTTGCTGCAGCATAAAACAAAATTTTAATTTGACAATAAGCAACAACTCAAAGCAAATGTCAGAGTTTATTACTGGAAAAGAACAAAAAAACTAAAGAAACTTAAAAATAAAGATTTACTGCATGTACTATGTCATTTTTTTTATGAATTTTGAGTTTATTTATAATTTCAATAAAAATCAGTTTGTTTAAAAGCAAAATAAAATGTAACTTTTTTGCTGTTATATTTATGATTATTTTTCGTTTGTTTCCTTTGGCATGAATACTTTGTCCTTGTTAATATTCCATTACAAGCTAAATATGTATGTATGTTTTCCCATACACACATATATACACATTAGTGCCACAATTCGTTAAACAAGATGTGACAGCTGTTGCAACATGTCCTTTTTAACTGACCACGTTTGTATGCTTCATTTTTATTGCAAAAAATTTTTTTTTTTCTTTCGTTCGTTTTTTCTCCATGTTTTTGAGGATTTTTATATGTGTTTATTTGTATCCTTATTGGGTAAATTTTAAATAAAACTAAAAAAATGTTTGGGAGTAAAAAAAAAGAAATAGCTTTGTAGCTAAAAGCGACATCTGTGTGTTTTGTTCTCTTTAAAGTTTGTTTTTTGTTTTGTTTTTATTGCAAAACAAAAGTACGTGCGTTTTTTACCAAAGCAACTAAACAAACTGAATTGTTGAATCCTTTTGTACGATATCTGCTAGAAATATTTGTTTCATTTGTAGGAATTGAGGGGAATTAAAGGTAGAGAGAGAGAGAGAGAGAGGGGTAGAGAGATCTAGAGTATGTGACATTTAATGCTACATGTTGTACAAATGTGTATGAGATCCTGATGGTTTGTTAGATTGCATACTGATTTGTTGCTTTTGTGCAACAAACTGACGACACATGTTATTTGCTAACTCAGCATACAAACAGACAGAAAGACAGACGGATGGACGGACATACATATTTCGACACTAATACTGTAGCAAATACTTACACATACATGATAGCATATAGAGAGACACACGTACATAGATATTGCTACAAACAGGCTATTTTATTTTTATATACAAATGCTCTCATATATGTATGTGCGATGGGTAAGGAGCCTCTCCTTCAATTTTCATAAAATTTCTGCCTAAATGAACGCAGAGAGAAATCAATTGTTTACTTTATAAGTCCTAGGTAATCTAGACGCAGGTTAAAACTAATCAAAGTGATATTTGATCTAAATTAAGTTAAAAGCAAATCAATGAATGCCACTTGGAACTGCTGGGTCGTGTTCATGTCTATATTTGTTTGTGCATGTCAGTTCAAATGTATGTGTTGTATTGTCAAGCTAATGTTGCTCTATTACTCCAAAAAGTCGTTTTGTATTCACATGACATTTGTTACGTATTTGTTTTTGTTTTTTTTTTTTCAATTTTTTTTTTTGGGGAATTTTATTTATAGTTGTTTGTTGTTTTATTATTATTTTTAGTTTTATTTTTCTTTCGATATAAAACCAACAATAAGAAAATATTTTTTCAACAAATATTTATCTAAGGATTTAATCAAATAGAAAATGAACATTGAAGCAAAAAAATACAAAAACAAATAAGAAATTAGACTCGGTTGCATAGCAAAGGTTAAAGGTTGAAACCACATAACTAAAGTATGTATTGGAAAACCATTTTTAAAGATGTTTAATATGCATAAAAATCGGATCAAAATCATGTTTTGAGTCGCTATAGGGTTGTCCGTCCTTCCATTTAGAGGAAACAGTTTGATAAATTTACTTGGTCATATTTTTAAAACCATTTTTACCAGAATCCTGGAACGTAGATAAATCGGCTTAATATTACATTCTGAGTTGATATAGGCATGTCCGTCCGTCCATGCACGGAGTTAAATTTTTTGTTAAATTTATTCTGTTTAGTAAAGATGGTGAAAAGTTAAGATAGCGTAACATAGATGCTGTACAACTGTTTTTACAGTTATTTTAAATGTTGATGAATTGGCTCAAAATCATTTTCCGACTCGTATATAGAATTGTCCGTCCATCCATTTACAGGCAGTAATATGATAAATTTACTTTGTCTGGTAAGAATGGTGAAAGGTTGAGACAACGTAACCAACATGTTTTAAACATATCTTTAAAGACGCTTCAAACATAGAAAAATAGTTGGAAAATAATTTTCTCAGTTTATATTGTCATGTCCGTCCGGCCGTGCACATTATGGATTTTTTTTATAAATTTACTATATCTCGTAACGATGATGAAAGGTTGAGACCACGCAACTAGCATGTTTTAAAACAGTTTTTGCAGATATTTTAAATGTTGATGAATTGGCTGAAAATCATTTTTCAAGTCTATATAGGGTTGTCCGTCCGTCCATTTACTGGCAGCAATTTGACAAATTTACTCTGTCTGGTAAGAATGGAGAAAGGTTGAGACTGCATAACTAACATATTTTAAATATAAATATAATAATATAAATTATTTTAAGAATGTTTGAAACGTATAGAAATAGTTGTAAAGTAATTATCTGAGTTGATATAGTGATGTCCGTCCATCCATGCATAGTATGACATTTATTTTATAAATTTACTCTGTCTCGTAGCGATGGTGAAAGTTTGGGACCACGTAACTAACATGTTTTGAAAAAAAACACATTTTGACACATATTTGAAATAAAAATAAAACTGTTAAAAATCATTTTCTGAGTGGCATAGTCGAATGTCCGTCCGTCCATTCATGTGCAGGAAGCTTTTCTTGATAAGTTTACTCAATAAGATGGTGAAAAGTTGAGACCACCTAACAATTATGTTCTAAAACAGTTTTTACAGTTATTTTAAATGTAGATAAATCAGCTCAAAATCATTATCTGAGTTATATAGGAATGTCCGTCCATCCATTTACAGGAAGCAACGATGGTGAAAAGTTGATGAAAATTAACGAAAGTGAAAAGTTGAGATCTCGTAATTAGCATATTTTTAAAATCTATTTTAACGATGACTGAATCGTAGAAAATTCGGCTAAGAGTCATTTTCCCACTCAATATAGGAGTGTCCTTCCGTCCATGTTCAGCTATTTATCTATTTATTTGAGAAATTTATTCTGTTTTTACCAGGATGGTGAAAGGTTGATATTGCTTAACTAACATACTTTTAAATACATTTTAAGGAATGTTTCAAATATAGAGAAATCGGTTCCAAATCAGTTTCTGAATCTAGATAGAAATGTCCGTCCTTCCATCCATAGGAAAAAAATTTTAAATTAACGTATAAAAGTCTTTGATGAGAATCGAACCTAAGACCTCCATACTGATTGACTACAACACTACCAACTAACCTACGAGAACAACCGTAAAACATATTTTTTTATAGTTTAGTTTATTTCAATATTTTTATTAAACATTAAAAAGGTTTTATAAATTTCAATTACATTTTATCAAAATTTCACATCTTTTATTGGTTTTTAAGCCTGAAAACGCCATTTTTTTATATGCGCCACCAAATCCCTGACCTTTAATACTACAACCTAATTTGTTAAAAGGCCATTTATGGTACAAATGTCACATTGTTGACCTGTTCTAAGCCGATTAATCGTTCAGACAAAACATCCTAGCAATTGTTGCTGTTACCTTACATACCAGCATATAACTACATACGCACATGTGTACATATGTATATATGTATGTGTGTAAGAGTGTGTAAGGATTTCAATAAATTGCCTACTCCATGTTACTGTTTGTAAAACAAACTTTAAGCCATGTCCACTATAAACTGCAGGCACTGCAGGTTGTTTGAAACAACAAAAAAAGTTTGTTGTGTTTTATAGTGTTTGATTTAGGGATTGCTTTTTTTGGAGGAAAACCTGCAAAGCTTCCAGTTTTTTAAAGTGTACAAAAAAATCTATTTGCATGTTAGCAATTTTTTTTCAATTTTTTTTCTACATAAAGCCTAAAAAATAGTTGCTGTTTTCACATTTTTTTTTTTAATTTCGTTTCTATTTTTGGTTCCTATATCCTGTGACTACTGAGAATTGCATCCATTACCGTTTTATTTAAAATTTTTTTTTGCTGTGAATAAGTCCCACGAAAAAAAAACTTTTCGGTTTTCTCATGTGCAAGGCAATAAAGTTCGTACTCTATATTACAAACGCCAAAGTTGCGTGTAGTCATGTAAGGATTTGCTCTCCTCAAAAAGTAAGTGTTTACAAATCTATAAGCCTTTTTGAAGTATTAGTCGTAACAAGTGCTGTTTCTCTGTTTGTTGTTATTAGCAAATGTTGTTTGGCAGAGTAGCACTTAGAATGTTGCTAGAGTTACAGGTGCAAATAAATTGAAAACAGATATAGGGAATTGGAAGCTTCTTTAACGAAGAATTTAAGATTACAGGTATTAAATTACTAAAAGAGGTCTTTATACTTACAATCTACACTGACTTTGATGCGTTTTGAAACCGTTGGTGGCACTCCATTCGATGCTATACACAAATAGGCACCCATATCTAAGCGTGATATTCGGGTTATTTCCAAAGTATCACCTTCCCATTCATTTACTGCAAGTAAATTAAAAACAAAGTAAATATTATAAATCTTTCAAAATAGCGTAAATATTTCTAAGTCATAAGTCGTAGTATAATGCTAGTGATAGTAGTGACAGTCTAGTGATAGTTTAGTGATATTCTAGTTGTAGTCCAGTGATGGTCTAATTATAGTCTGGTGATAGTTTAGTGATTGTTTAGTAATAGTTTATTGATAGTATAATGATAGTCCAGTGATAGTCTAGTAATAGTCTAGTCATAGTCTAGTCATAGTCTAGTCATAGTCTAGTCATAGTCTAGTCATAGTCTAGTCATAGTCTAGTCATAGTCTAGTCATAGTCTAGTCATAGTCTAGTCATAGTCTAGTCATAGTCTAGTCATAGTCTAGTCATAGTCTAGTCATAGTCTAGTCATAGTCTAGTCATAGTCTAGTCATAGTCTAGTCATAGTCTAGTCATAGTCTAGTCATAGTCTAGTCATAGTCTAGTCATAGTCTAGTCATAGTCTAGTCATAGTCTAGTCATAGTCTAGTCATAGTCTAGTCATAGTCTAGTCATAGTCTAGTCATAGTCTAGTCATAGTCTAGTCATAGTCTAGTCATAGTCTAGTCATAGTCTAGTCATAGTCTAGTCATAGTCTAGTCATAGTCTAGTCATAGTCTAGTCATAGTCTAGTCATAGTCTAGTCATAGTCTAGTCATAGTCTAGTCATAGTCTAGTCATAGTCTAGTCATAGTCATAGTCTAGTCATAGTCTAGTCATAGTCTAGTCATAGTCTAGTCATAGTCTAGTCATAGTCTAGTCATAGTCTAGTCATAGTCTAGTCATAGTCTAGTCATAGTCTAGTCATAGTCTAGTCATAGTCTAGTCATAGTCTAGTCATAGTCTAGTCATAGTCTAGTCATAGTCTAGTCATAGTCTAGTCATAGTCTAGTCATAGTCTAGTCATAGTCTAGTCATAGTCTAGTCATAGTCTAGTCATATAGTCTAGTCATAGTCTAGTCATAGTCTAGTCATAGTCTAGTCATAGTCTAGTCATAGTCTAGTCATAGTCTAGTCATAGTCTAGTCATAGTCTAGTCATAGTCTAGTCATAGTCTAGTCATAGTCTAGTCATAGTCTAGTCATAGTCTAGTCATAGTCAGTCATAGTCTAGTCATAGTCTAGTCATAGTCTAGTCATAGTCTAGTCATAGTCTAGTCTAGTCATAGTCTGAAGTTAGTATTTGCAAAACATTGTCCGTCAGGTTCCAGTTGAAATCGTACGATATTTCATGTCCTTGCCTTACCAATATGATTTTTACTAATTGTAATTCTTGAATTATCATCCCTCTTCCATTTAATGACCGGCTTGGGACTGCCACTAGCACGACAGCGTAATGAAATATTTGAACCTTCTCGAACAATGACATCACTTGAACTCAGCGAATCATCTATATTGGGAGGAACTGTAAATAATTTGGAAAATAGAAGAAAAAAGGACACAGAAAAACATATGAGTTACTTCAAACCAATTATGTAAGCTTTACAATACAATTGTGTAACTATTAAGTACGTTTTCTAATTTAGTTTATGGAGTATATATTTTGTTTATTTCCCCTATATTGTTGCCTTAATTGTAAAGATACTTTAGTTTTGGTTTATTTACAATCTTGTTGCTACTTTTTCTAAAGGAATTATTGTTGTTGGTTGGTTTTTTAAGTTGTCTCTTGAGATGAGTTGCTAGCACTCTTGATGTGTTACTAAGGAGGTAATAAAGTACTGGTTTTATTTTAAAATAAACTTGTGACTTAATGCTCAAAACTGTGGTACTAGAGTATTAAGTGAAAGCAGGTATAGGCAAATCATTATGGAGAGCCTAACCGAACTTACTCTCCCATATATATACGAATCCGTTTTAAACGAAATTGTTGTTTACAAAGCTAGAGAAGTCTAGATGAATTAGTTTAAATTATGACTTTAAGAACGAGTGTAGTGGTTCTGCTTTTAGATTTTGCCGTTCCCTGTTTAGAGAGCTGGCCTGAACTTCAGTTACCTTCCACTTGTCTTTGTGGTTATTTTTAAACTAAAGTAGATGTTGATGAAAATGGTGATGGTGATGAGGATGATGATGACGACGATGAAAATGATGACTAGGATAATGTTGTTGCTTTTCTTACATTAAACCAACTTCTTGTGTATGAAAAGAATGTTAAGGAAACAAACACTTGTTTATTTACTTATTTATTTGGCCAAGAGGCTAAATGAGTTTTTGACTTGTTATCCTGCCACTTACTCTCGTCATGGCTTATTGTGTAACTTTAACTAACTTACAAACTGTATAAATAAAGGCAAAGAATAAATGAATGAATGCAGGAGCCAGGGAGGAGCTCAATGACTGACTCATGTATTTACAAACTAACTAAGACTAAAGCTACTATCGTTTGCTGCTACTACAGCAGCAGCAAGTGAAGATGATAATGAGGATGTTGCTAAGAACACTTGATGGAAAAGTATCATTAAAATGTGTATTTGTATAAAGTTCTCTATAATAATTTTAGTTAGACTTGGATCTAGCATATGTCTTGGTTTCAAAACCAAAATAAATTTGGTTTAAATGTGAACAATTTGTTGGTCGTTCAGCTATTCTCTACTTTCTTAGTACCAGTAAAGTAGCGACTATTTACTTCATTGTTTACTTGGTACCAAAAAAGTTAATACTTAATACTTTTAGAACTGTATTAAGTTTAAATAGTTTTCATCAATTCCCTTTCTTTAAGTCTGTAAAGGCACATTTAGCTAACTTTCAATTCGTTTATGACTTCGTCTCCATAACTGAACTTTATTTAAATAAAGTCTATAGTCTATTTAAACTCTCTTCAAAAACAAATAATAACACAAAGAAATATATAAATAAAATCTTAAGTTATTAGGACATGTTTGTGGTTTCGTTAAGAAAACATAGACATAAATATTTATACCGGCAGCAGTACAACAGCAGCTTGCAACAAACAGCTCACAACATTTGTGGCAAGTCAAAAAGTGTGACATCTACGTAGTAGATTCCCCAAGACTCCAGAAAAAGTTTTTTGTTTCACTTTTCTAACGACAAATGTTTCCTTCCGCTGAAAAGTATACAAATACTTTTTTTCCCCGTTAAGGATTGTTGTTTCAAGAGAATTTTATTTATTTATATTAAGTGAGTGAGATTGAGTTGATGCTGCTGAGTTGGTTGTCTGCTGATGAAGATGACACTAGTTTTTTGGTTTTTTTTAAATTAAATCAACGCTACTGATGATTTTACTTGACTTCTTGTACTCAAACCTTAAGTTTTATTACTAATTTGTTGTTTGTAGTCATGGTTTTAGTTAATAGTTTTATAGTCTTGGATTTTATCTACAATATATAATTGGCTTTTTGGCAAGTAATATTTCTATTAGGTAATTAGGGGATTGAAGTTTTGAAGGGAAAGGAGTGGAAACTTAAAGGCTCTTTTTGCATTTCTCTAATGGAAGGAGATTTTCCATATAAAGAAATGTATCCAAAAAAGAGATAACTTCTATGGTGATTTTCTCCAAACGTGAGTTGTATTCTATATGGAAATTATGTCCACGTGAGAGTAATTTTCTATATGAAAACTCGCTTCAAACGAGAATCACTTAAACAATGCAAAGACTCTTTATGTAGACATTTCTCTAATGAAGAGAGATTTTCTATGCAAAGAAATGTAAGCAAAAGAGAGACAACTTCTATGGTGATTATCTCTAAACGTGAGCTATATTCTATATGGATATTATGTCAAAGTGAGAGTAATTTTCTATACGAAAACTCTCCAAACGAGGGGAATTTCTTCATTTGAGAGACATTTTCTATACGAACATTTTCTCCATAGAGAATTACTCTTGTTGAGAGATATTTTCTATTCATTCAAGAGCTTTTTTCTACACGAAAACACTCTCTATTAAAGAGAGGCATTTCTTCAATTGAGAGACATTTTCTATACGAACATTTTCTATATGGAGAATTACTCTTGTTGAGAGAAATTTTCTATACGAAAACTGATTCAAATTGAGAGACATTTCGTATAAGAGAACTATCCTTATATGAGACAATTTTCATAAGAATTGTGCGACTAATTGGGAGACAGTTTCTATACAAAAAAAATTGAGTAACATTTTCTATCCGAAAATGTTTTTCAAGTTTCTATATGAAAACTGTCCTTAATTGAGAGACATTTTCTATACCAAAACTGTCTCTAATTGAGTGATATTTTCTATACCAAAACTGTCTCTAAGAGAGAGATATTTTCTATATGAAAATTGTCTTCAATTAAAAAACATTTTCTATGTACAAATTTCTCTACTTAAGAGGCATTTTCCATATAGAAATTGAGACCTATTTTCTATATGGAAAATGCTTCTAAATGAGAGACATTTCTCTACGAAAACTGTCTCTAAATGAGAGTAAATTTCCATATGAAATCTTCCACGAAGAGATAGCGGGGAGAAAGAGGGGCACAAAATGTATTCTTTAAAAATATGAAGGAAATTTCTGTTGAAGAGTATGAGCTACTCACTAGTCTGTTTTAGGTCTAATTTTTATTTCCCTTTTTAACGTTCACTGTTCTGAACCTACATGAAGATATAGTGGGGAGTCATACTCTTTCTCCTGTGATGACATTGTGGCAGTGATTTTGTTTTCGAATATTATTCTCTCTGCTTGGAAATGTTCTTTGTTAGCAACGCATGTTAAAGTGGGAATCATTGAAGCATAAATTTTTAGCTTAAATAATTTTTTTTAACTGATATTTGCTGTTTTCTCAATGCTTTGCTGCCAGCCTGCTGTTGTTTCGTTTTCCCTGTGCTTTGGTCCCCAAAGATATTTGCTTTGATTTACAATTTTCGAAGAAAGCAAAACAGGACAAAAAGAAATTTTCCTTTCCTTTAGACGTTGCAAGGAATAAATTTTATTTTTAATTTATTTATAAAACAAAAAATACAAACAAATTATAGTTTGTCAACCAAACCCCCAGTATTGTTAAGGGAAATCTTGGTAATTGTTGTTGTTACTATAGTAAATATGATTTTCAAGAGATTTTTGTACAATTAAATTGATTTTTTTCTTTCTGTTGAATCATATATTAATGTTCTGTTGCGACAAGTTTTATCATGCTAGCAAATGTAACTTTACTTTAAACAACTTACCAACCACGTTTAAATAGCCAAATTGTGTTTTGGCTGTCACGGTATTGATTTGACACATATAACGTCCCTTGTCCTCTTCCTGAACATTGTTTATGTGTAAATACCAGGTGCGATGACGATCATGTTTATCGTGTGTCACACTGATGCGTGGATTACGTGTTATAACATGATTGTGTACCGTTAATATGGCTGATTGTTCGAAATGCATCCATGCCACCTGAAAATGAAAGAATAGAGTTGTGCGTCAATACGATATGAGAAAAAGAATTCATTTGTAAAAAGGACAAGAAATTTACATTATACATTTTATAAATGTGTTTATTAACGGATTACATATTCATTTGGTGGGGGAATGAAATGAAAGTGAAAAACAAAGACGTAGACGATGTAATTTCAGAGGAGGTAAATTCACCCCAACAAGTGGAAATTTGGAGCTGGTTTGTTTTGGACATACACAGAGTTTTATATTATCATTTCTGATCTGCGCTCCTGTTTTTAAAACAAACATAACAAGATGACAAAGTTGAAGTTCACTTTAAAAGCATTTAGGTTATGTTAACATTTGATGATGTCAAGTCAATTATAACCATTAAATATTTGCACAAAAAAAATATAATTTTTAAGTTATGTCAATATAATTATTCTTCAGTAAACTGATGTTAATTTGAAATTTACATCAAGCTTTATAATATTTTTGATTTATTAATTTAATCCTTAAACAAAAATTACTAAAAACCAACACATTTTTAAGTTATTTCCCATAAAATTCTCCTATAACGACTATTTTCGTTATTGTGTATTTTTTACCAGGAAATAAATAAAAACAAAAAATTTATGTTTAAAATAACTTAGGTTTGTTAAGGAATAAATTTCTCACAGAAATTTCATATAACGACTTTTAACGTTATTATTTAAATTTCTCGTTATAGAATTTTAGAAAATTTTACAAGAGAATATCCAAAATCATGCCATAAACAAGAATTACACATTTCCATACCATTTTCTCTGAAAATTACCAATAACGACTTTTTTAGTTATTTTACTTTAATCTAAAAATATATGAAAATAATTAAAATTCAAGCTAAAAATGGATAAATATTGCTTATAAACAAATTTCTAGCAAAATTAACGCATAACGACTTTTTTCGTTATGAGATTTTAACATAATTTGTATATAACGTCATTTATCGTTTTTAGAATTGTTTGCCGCAAAATGTGCACAATCATCTAATAATAAAGAATCACAAATTTTTAAGCTATTTCTTGTAATATTTGCCAATAACGTCTTTAATCGTTATTTGTATTTAATACTCAAAACTGTAAAAATAAGTAAGTGTCAATGTAAAAATGGGTTAAAATTGTTTAGAAATACATTTCTAGCAAAATATCCATATAACTACTTTTTTCGTTATTAGCTAATTTTATAATAAAATGTCTCTAAATATTTTCTTATGCATAAAACATTAAACTTATGGTTCAAAAAATATTTTGAGTAAAATTTTCATATAACGACTTTTATCGTTATGACATATTTTCAATGAAGACAATACAAATAAGATTAATTTTAACATACAATTTATATTTAGGCATTAAAAAGGTGATTTCTGACATCTCCTTCAAATAACGTTTCTTATCGTTTTCAGAAAATCTGACAGCAAAATGTTCGGCACTTCCTAAAAAATTTGGAAAAAGGCAAATTTCATGCTAAAAATGTCTTAAGTATGTTTAGAAACAAATTTCTAGCAAAAATTTTCATATAACGACTTTTTTCGTTATTAGTTAATTTTACACTAAAACGTCCCTAGTTATTCCCTTATGCATAAAACATAAAACTTATGGTTCGAAAAAGATTTTGAGCAACATTTTCATATAACGACTTTTATCGTTATGGCTTATTTTCAGTGAAGACAGTATAAATAAGTTAAATTTTAACCTAAAATGTATATTTTGACATTTAAAAGTTATTTCTGACATATCTCTCAAATAACGACATTTCTCGTTTTTAGAAAATCGGCTTATTACTTAAAAATTTTTTATAGATACATTTTAAACAAAATTTCCATACAACGACTTTTATCGTTATTAGGTAATTATACTAGAAAATGTTCATAACCATATCGTTAAGCATAAAAGTGTTAAATTGTTTTAAAATGATATTCAACCAAATTTTCATATAACGATTTTTATCGTTATGATTTATTTTCACTAAAAACTGTAAAAATAAGTTATATTTTAATACAATATACTAATTGTGCTATTTTAAAGTAATTTTTAACATATTTTTCAAAAAAACGATTTTTCTCGTTATTAGGCAGAAAAGTGTATAAAACTAGAACTTTTTGTACAAAAATTTTAAATAAATTGTTTGAAAAAGAATAAACTTACTAAAATTTAAACTTTTTACTACTAAAACACAATTTTCCATTGTTGCTTTGAAGACTTATTTAATTAGTCTGCAAACTCGAAAACGTCTTTAATTGTTACTAAATGATTTTAATAAATTATTCAATATTTTTATTCACTTCCTTAAAGTGCTTAATTTTTATCAATTATTTAATTTTTATTTAAGTTTCCGTTAACAAAAAGTAGGTGTTTTTTTATTTTACGTTTACTTTTTAACTTTTTTTGGTTAACTTTCTTGTTCCAACCCATTTGAGGGCTGTTACAAGTACTATTTCCTGTAAACTCAATGACTTACTGTTCAATATTGAAAAATACACAGAGCGAAAGACACACGCACGGAAATAGTACAAATACCGTAGAGCCAGCATATTTTCTTGTCATTGATTATTAAGTTCCTGTTTAAAAGTTTTCGTTCAACAAAAATATGAAAGTAAAGTTAAACATACTTAAGTAGACTTAAAAAAAAGTACGAAGTTAAGAAAACTGTAACAATGTTTTCTTATTTTATTTCAATTACTTTAAAACAAAAACTTTCAAGAGAAAAAACTAAAAAAAAATATTTAAATAAAAACTTTAAACAAAAGTAAAGTAAATATTTAAAAAAATTTTCAAAATTGCATAAAATTTTACGAAATAAACTAAAATTAAGACAATTTTTAGTTTAACAAAATATTGAGTCAGCAATTTGCTATTGTATAACTTTTCCCACTAATGATCAGTTTGTAAAATTTTATAGTTTTTTAAGCAAATTTTTCCCCAAAAACGTGTCAAGAATGCAACAAATGTCAAATATCGTTTAAACTTACAAAACCATAGAGATGTGTATTTAAGATGAGCAGCAAAATGGAGTATTGAACACTAGAAACAAATTAAGTGTCGAAAAAAAAGGAGAAACCTTTTGCTAACAAGACGATAAAACTAGACATTGAAATGTAACCGTAAGTAGCTGTAAATGTGTAAATATTGTAACACATACTAATAAACTTACATACACTCGCAAACATATCTTTAGTTTCCTTTATGTCATCAAATAAGAAAATGTAATGAAAACAAACTTTTAAGACAACATGAGCAAAAATTTGAAAATTTAAGCAAAAAATGCTGAGAAATGCATCTAAACGTACTAAAGTATTTGTAGAGGTTTTTACATGAAATCAGAAGTTGGGATGAAATATATAGTTTAAGGAAAAGAATCAAAAAACAAAAATGCCATAATCAGAAAGTTAGTATGAACTGTTACTACTTCAGCAACCACTACTGTTGTCCTAAGGATGTGTAGGATTCCTTAAGATTCCTTTTGCTTTTAACTAACTACAAAATTTTCTAACGATATGTGCACTTAAAGGTAATAGTTAATACCTACAACTAGTTGTTAGTCCGGACACATACCCTGACGTTTTTCTAGGGGTTAGTGAATCCCTTTTAGAGAATAATTGTGTTTGAGGTTAATAATCGTTTTCGAGTCCACAGTAATCTACAAGATCGTTCTTGTACTAGATTATGACTAGACTATGACTAGACAATGACTAACTATGACTAGACTATGACTAGACTATGACTAGACTATGACTAGACTATGACTAGACTATGACTAGAACTATGACTAGACTATGACTAGACTATGACTAGACTATGACTAGACATGACTATGACTAGACTATGAACTAGACTATGACTAGACTATGACTAGACTATGACTAGACTATGACTATACTATGACTAGACTATGACTAGACTATGACTAGACTATGACTAGACTATGACTAGACTATGACTAGACTATGACTAGACTATGACTAGACTATGACTAGACTATGACTAGACTATGACTAGACTATGACTAGGACTCTATGACTAGACTATGACTAGACTATGACTAGACTATGACTAGACTATGACTAGACTATGACTAGACTATGACTAGACTATGACTAGACTATGACTAGACTATGACTAGACTAACTATGACTAGACTATGACTAGACTATGACTAGACTATGACTAGACTATGACTAGACTATGACTAGACTATGACTAGACTATGACTAGACTATGACTAGACTATGACTAGACTATGACTAGACTATGACTAGACTATGACTAGACTATGACTAGACTATGACTAGACTATGACTAGACTATGACTAGACTATGACTAGACTATGACTAGACTATGACTAGACTATGACTAGACTATGACTAGACTATGACTAGACTATGACTAGACTATGACTAGACTATGACTAGACTATGACTAGACTATGACTAGACTATGAACTAGACTATGACTAGACTATGACTAGACTATGACTAGACTATGACTAGACTATGACTATGACTAGACTGACAGACTATGACTAGACTAGACTAGACTATGACTAGACTATGACTAGGACTAGACTATGACTAGACTATGACTAGACTATGACTAGACTATGACTAGACTATGAGTAGACTATGACTAGAGTATGACTAGACTATGACTAGACTATGACTAGACTATGACTAGACTATGACTAGACTATGACTAGACTATGACTAGACTATGACTAGACTATGACTAGACTATGACTAGACTATGACTAGACTATGACTAGACTATGACTAGACTATGACTAGACTATGACTAGACTATGACTAGACTATGACTAGACTATGACTAGACTATGACTAGACTATGACTAGACTATGACTAGACTATGACTAGACTATGACTAGACTATGACTAACTGACTAGACTATGACTAGACTATGACTAGACTATGACTAGACTATGACTAGACTATGACTAGACTATGACTAGACTATGACTAG